GGTGATTCGTTTGAGCAAACTTGCAAATATAATAGCCCTTCAACCCTGCACATTACTGGCCAACTATCATCACCTTAGGCCTCTTGGTTAACCAGAAGTGGTTAATGTACGTTCTTTAAAAAATCAACACTATAATCTTCACCACCCTAGCATCCAATTGACCATATAATGACCTTGACAATAGGCAAAGGTGAATCGATTAAACAAATGGAATAGCCATTCAGTCAAGAGCACATAATTGTTCAGAAAAAGTCATTTAAACAAAAATGAATAGACTCGATTGGACATTCATGCAAAATAATCTAATGATTACAAAATATTTTAGTTATCGTTCATCATTTTCAGATAATCTCTTTACAATTAAAATGAAAAAGCCATATTCTTTTACCCACAACAACTACACGCTTCACCCTTTACATTCGTTAACTCAAAAGTAATATTTTGTTTTGAATATGCTGAAACGGCACAAAAGACTACAATAAACAGTAATTAGGCAAAAAAAGTAAATGAGAGTTTGAAGAACAATGGTATATATCCTAGTCTCTTTGCTCAAGGTTTGGCCATAATTCTTTATATTAACTTCAAGTCCTCTTGGCCGAAGGGATCTTTAGCTTGAACAAGGTAGTCTCTTCTTTCTTAATCTTCATTTATCCCTTGACAGTCCCATTCATATGCTCCTAGCCATTTGTTTATACAATATTTAAACCACTTGACAAATGGATCTTTTGTATCAAATTAGATTTAAATCACAACACGTCCTGGAGCTGTAGGCATTTAATGTGTATTGATATTTCTTCCGTTCGGTCCTTGTTCATGCGTTATACAATTGATTTCCTGCCAAATGAGTTAAAGTAAAATGTCGTTCATCACGGTACAATCTCTTATGTAATCCACTGATATAATCAATCACTGGCATAAACACCAATTTAAAAACAATGTGATATTATCTGATACACTCTGTGGAAATGACTTCATCTGATGTATACCTAGCTATGTAATGTATACACTGATCAATATATTTTAGTGGCGTTTTGTGTGTGTTAAAATAAACTGTTCCTTGAGACTTAACAACTTTTAAATACACACTAATTTGTTTAGGTGATATAATATTACTGGTTTTTAAACTTATGAACATATTTCCTGTTAACAATGCAATACTTGTTATCGAAAACAAGCCCTTTTATTAACATTTGTATACCACAAGTTATTAATTTATATCATCTGTGACAAGTAACTATGCATATTTGCATCTTATGCAACTCCTATGGACCACACGACCATCTACTAACTCACATACTGAAGCAGCACACGTAGCATATTCACACTAGCTCTCTTTACCACGCAAAACGGTGACTCGTTGTCAGGTCTCATACCCTCAGACAATAGATATAAAGCACATTCTCCTGTTTCATTACAACATGCTTTGTTCAACAAGACACGTCTTGGACTCTAACTTTGTATTGCGTTGTTTCTCTAATTGTTGTATATAATGTCTGTAAAAATGAGTGTAAAAATAGACTACAAGTAAAGCTAGCTTTTGTTGTGTAGACACAGATTTGTAAATGGAAAAACTGCTCTTTTTAAATATGAAGCCGACATACAAGTACAATTTATTTTTGGAATTGTGATGCAGGTAATATACAGTAGAGGTTATTCATTGTACAAATAATACCACCGATGGTCACGGTACGCTACTGTATGCCACTACCTCATGCGTCAGTTTTGTTGCAGAAAATTTAATTATAGCATACTACATGTCTGGAAAATGATACAAAGAACAAATTGATGCATCCGTATACTACCTCCCATAGCTACAGTGATGTCGTAAAAAACTTTGGTGCCATCAGTTGGCTTCTTTGACATCAGCAAGGCTCACTGATACAAAATTATATACAAGAAAACCAAAAATAACAACAGAGTAGCAACATTTTCTGGTGACTGATGGAAAGCACACAATTGTCAGATATTTTGAAACATCAGACAAATGACGAAATAGCAACCGTTTCATACTTTCCTCAAGGAATGATAGTGACCATCACAAATCATTTATTTCACTCGAAAACAATGTATTTCTTCAGCTGTAAATATGGAAATAAAGCAAACTGGCATTGTTGGCCTTGTTTATTTGATCTATATTCTGAATCAAGTGAAAACCCCCCATATAAAAAAGTTTTTATTAGAATGAAAACAAAAAATGTACCCGTTTTCAATACATACCATTTTAAGCATTAGTAACAATGGGTACCGGCTGCTGAGCTGAGTGAAACAGACTTTACTTTAGTCTGAATGCATCAGGAGATACCCAGTGAATTCTTTGTATGTATCAACATGCATGTTTACTTAACCAAGAAATAATAAATTGTTAACGTGTATACTTAAATAAATGAAAAACGTATACAGAGATACACGTCTTAAAATGCTTGTTATTTATCCATTCAAAGTTATGATTTTGTCTTTTTATCTTTTAAAATCATATGCATTTTCCATTATTATACATTAATTGATCAGTATCATGTTTTTGGTTATTTTTTGTTGTTGTGTTTATTGTGTGTTACACAAATGTTTACGTTTTCATCGCACCTTGTTCCACCTTGCCTTTAATTTTGCTTGGTTAGCTCTTTCAGTCACAAAAATGTTGATGTTTAATCAGTATTTCCTCTGCTGATTATTTTTCTCTACGAGAGAGAATTCCAACATTAGGATATTCTATAATACACAGAAATTGATAAGAGAAATTATGTCACAAGCCGAGTGGTGTGCAAGAAATAATGTTTGTGACCATCTGGTGTTACCTCCGTTTTATATGAAATGGGTTATTACAATGTTTTTTCTTTGGTTTTGATATTGTGCTTCCTCCGTTCATCCTAAACATATTCCAAATCTGATTACTCCAGGTGAAATAGTATAGAAGATATGCCCCGAGCAATCTTTTTCAAAAGTTAAGGACAAAGGTCAAAGACACAGTGAGGTCGTAGTGATCTAATTCTTGCACTCTACATTCCATCATCCCAAGATGTCATTGTACACAAAATCTGGTTACAAAACAATAACAATGATTTAATCATTTCAATGTTTCGTTAAAAATAACAGTGATCATTATTTATTAAAACGGAAGTATATTACATCCGTTGTTGTTGAATTTATTATGAATTTGTATAAAATTCTCACTACAAATATTGCATTTGAATACTTTTATTTACAAAAGATATTGCAACAAGGACGCATCGCCAATACACAAAGGCACAATCTGAACTCAACGTCAAAACAAAGCAAACAAAGCCTAAAGTACAAAATGAAGTATGATAAAATATCGTAACAAACCTAACTTATCAAACCTAACATAAGTTTGATGAAATGAAGTATGATTTGTTAGCTTTATTGACAGACAGGCTTTTTCAATGGTCATTCATAAATAAATAAATTATTGCAGTCATCTTTATATAAAGAACACAAGAGAGTCAACAAATGTTATATGAGGTTCGAGTTACGCCTCTCCCCTTTAAAACGTATTGGCCTTTTTAGATTCTGTAGATGGTCAGTGACCAATCTCATAACTAGCAAAAATAGGGTGCACTGGTGGAGGGCAACGCAAGAAGTAGACATTTGGTCCTTGCCTGAAAGCTTAGATGTAGTAAAAAATCGACGAAAATAAAGTGAATTTCATGCTTTTAAACCTGCTCACCGATTCACAAACCGTAGGTTACCAACATAATTTCCGGACTTTGTTTTCAGATACAATAACGGATGCCACTTGCGGTACGAAGCACTTCTGCGTCGATAGTGATCAGGTTGTTGTGGTGACAGTTTTATTGTTGTATCGACTATGACGTCATCCTTGTCGTTTGTTTGTTAGGCAAAGCTTTTAAAGTATGAAGAAGTTCCTTTAAAACAACCATTATACAATGTGTATAAGATTTACGTTATATATCGTGTTAACCATTTGATATATAAAGTACTGCAGCTACATGTTAAACACAGCCTTGCGTAGGTACATATAGACTATGCGATCATGGACGTTTAAATATCACATGATGTTTAAAAGATAATATACATATAATTTTAAAACAATATAATGGAATTATATATCTGATCTTCATACATGAGCTTTTCCAGACGTTTTCGTTTTATCATACTAAACTAAATATAGTGAATAACACCAATGCATCATTATACTTTTCATTTTTAACAAACTATCATATCTTCGTATATATTACTCTCATGAAAGATACTCTAAATAGATTTTAGAAAGTAAATCATGTTACAAATGTTGTATATACGCAAATTCATTGATCGGAGAATCATTTATAAGAAAGATAAGCTCCGTTTGGAATAGCACATATATGTACACGCTTTACCAATAAAACGACTATGTGTCATGTACATATGGTGTATTTTTAATCATTTATATGTATAACGTTTCATCTAATTTGTGAGACAAACATCTAACATTCAACATTTATTAATACGGCTATAGTTAATTTTACAACAGGATAGTGATCTTAAACACTCTGCGGCATACATTTTTTCTACGTTTTGAAACGATCCAAATCATGCCATTTCTCATCATGTCCGATACTTTGTTTCTAAAGATGGCTATCACCGCAGAGTCGTACGATTTGTGAACTGAATCCAAAAAGTAATTACAACAAATAATACTACTTCTAGTTTAGTTAATTAATTTCCTTTTAGTTTCATAATAAGGCGATATCCGAAGTAATGAACGATTTTTACAGTTAATACAAACAGGTTGACATTACAACATCCCTCATATGCTATCTTTGTCTGTGCAAAGTGGAATATTTCGATTATTATACCAAATATATCGTTACATTTTTCATTTGCTTAATGCCACATACATATGTACATAATACAAAAAATCTGTATCGCAAAGTATTTTCTGCATTTCTTGACAAATTAAGTTTCACGGTGGAAAATGTAAACATAAGACGATCCACTTTTTTGATTGATTAATTTCTGTATTGTGATCCTTATTGTAATATCTAAGCGTTGTTATTGAATCGGTACACCTCGAACGAAACAGACTCATGTACAGATGTTACAACGAACTCCTGTTTGGTGGGATGGACTATGATACCATACGGTTTGTTGATACCGTCCAGTTTGGTCAGCAGTGCCTTCCCCCGTGATCCGTCAGGTGAAACCAGGTAAACATTGCGCGACAACGATCCACTTATATATAAATTGTCATCCCGGTCCAGTCCGATACCTCCAGGATACATCAGACGACGATCTTTATACCTGTAAACTACTGCGTCATTGTCAAGTCGTCTACACACTATATCATTGTTATCCTTGTGATACAATCTGGCCTTAGATGAAGATATAGCAAGGCACGAGTTACCTCCACTTTGTTTAATTGACCTTATAGCCACTCCATCCAAAGACAAAACCTCCACACCTTCAGACGTACCGGCGTAGATGTTATCTCCGTGAACTGCTATTCCTAACGTTCCAGGTGGACACGTGATCATCTTGGTCACAGACAGTTGGCCATTCCGTAGAGTACACTTCAGTAATTGGCCCTCGAACAAACTCACAAAAATTTCATCAGCAACACGTCCACGTGTGACGTCTAATGGCTTACCCTTAACATTGTATTCCTTTACTAAGGAATAGTTGTCATCAAACAATAAGAGTCGTTTGTTATCACTGTCTGTGATAAGTAGTTGTCCGTTGTCTGTAAAAAATCCACTTATTAAAAAAGGAGTGACAGACCCTCTCAACTTACTTCCATGTATGGTTTTTACACAGGATATTGAGCGTTCCCAGACATCCAATAATGCAACTGTTGGAGGTGAAATGACTGGTATACGCTGTAGGGAATCTGTAAGGTCAGACGCTGAAGAAAAGTCCACAGACGTAACAGGTGGAGGCTTAGAATTTATGGTATCAAGCAAAGAGCCGATACACGCATTCGCATGCTGTGACGTCAGTGAGATGGTCGAGGTCGCATCAACAGCACCAACGGTTGTCACTTTCATGATTTCGTCTACGATTTGTCCTATCTTCAGTGTAATGTCAAAAGTATTAGGCAGTTTCTTGGTGTTTTGATCCATCCGACGGTAATGTCCTGACAACTGATGCTTTGTTTGCTCTCTTGTGATAAACGTCTGTCGATCGGATCCCTGTGTTTCCAAGCACAACATTAGTAGATGCGAGTTCTCAGCGTTGGTGTTAAATTTGCTAACACATCTTAGTCGAGAAGTTATCTGTTGTCTGTACGAGTTATATTTGTGTGCGAGATCTAACTGAAATGCCGCGTTGAGGTCATCAAGCTTGTCTTTAGCCCGCTGTATCACATGAGTCATTTTAGCCGATTCTTCCTTTTCTTTTGAGTTTATTTTGTTCATCTGTGAATTGTCATCTTCCAACATTTTCTTCGATTCTTCTTGTATTTCCTCCCATTCTTTGTCAATGTCATTCTGTCCTGGTGTAGCTGTCTGTACGAGGTCGTCCAGTTGTTTTACATTATTGCAGTTTCTATGGGTCAAGGACACGCAGTCACTGCAACAAAGTGATCCGTGATCCACACAATAGAAGTCGAACGGCTTCGTGTTGTGGTTCGGACAAATATCGTTGACGATTATCCCTTTGATTCCACCAGACTCTCTGTCAATAGTCACAAGTTTGTGTTTGCTGGAAACTTTACTCCGTTTATGGTAAGTTTTGCAATCTTTACACAACATTTCAGCACAGTCAGTACACCAGACCTCGGCAGAACTGGATTCCTCGGCCCTCAGACATGCTTCACATGTTTGATCATACGATGTCTGTTTTGTATGGTTTAGGAACAGGTGATTTATGGGGAATGAAGTCCCCCAGGTATTGACGTGTATGCTTGGGTCCCGCGGGGTAATAGGATTATCACAGACAGGACACGGGAAGTAATGACGATCTTCATCGGCACATACATGTTCAGCCTGGATATAAGTGGTCAGACACGGAGAGCAAAATGTGTGACCACAAGGTAACTCTCTTGGATTTTCGTATACTTCCTGGCACAACAAACAGCGGAACTCCGGACTAGGGCAAGCCTCTGCCATATCAGACTTTAAATCTATGGGAATATGTCTCTGGAATAGAGAAATACATATTTTCTGTTAGAGTAAAGTATATTTCGGATTATGGTATTTAGTTTCGATAGCAAAATGAACACGTCGTAAACATCAATTGTAAATATGAACCAACGTATTTTGATAATACGATATACAAGTCTAGATATCAATGATTCAATTTATATCAAACTTTTGCTTGGTGTAAAGGTTAATGAGATACCACAAACAGGTAAATAAAGATGTATGAGTATCAATTCTATGTTCTCATGGAAATGACCCGTAAGCAAATGATATTTACAGATATGTATTCATATAACCACACCCTGGATAAAGGAGTTTATTAACAATCGATTTTATTTTAAAATAGTTAATCATAAAGTTGATTGTGAATAATCTTTAGTATACATTCATTATCTTTCCATCTATGATTTAAATAAAAAGGTGAAATGAAAGTGTTGTAGAGAGCAGAAAAAATGTTATGATGTGGTTTCTTTTTAGAAATAATCGAGTAGAATATTTTAGATTATGAGTTTGAAATAATTTAAATATTTAAATAAAATGTTTATGACTTGGCGACTTAATATTACCGTATCATGAATTAATGCTAGGTCGGGATTAAACTGACATGATATATGTAATCAAGAATACCTGTTTAAGACATTTCAGCTATGCTCATATAGATGATACATATTGTTGTGGGCTCATCTTTCTTCCTCAAAAGATAGAACTGTGGCAGAAGCTTGGCTATCGAGTATATTGAATATTACAAACACTGGCAAAAATCACCTGTAAACGTACTACCGTAAAAATCTGTGAAGTTACTATTATCAAGAAAACTGTAAACATATGCTGCAAATACCAGATTGATTAAAGATATTTCCATTGAGTATAGCACAAGGGAGCAAAGCCAACAAGGCTGACTGAAGGTGAAAAATCATACATAGCATATACGGATTCTACATTTAAACTGTCTCTGGTTCTCGGTCAAGCTTGACTTGTGCACTCAGTCTTGTTAGCTTCATGATTAGTTGTAATATGTCCAATGGAAATACATATAATTATTCTGGATATTTAAAACATTTTCTTACAGTTTACTTGATATCAATAACTGCATTGATACTTCTGGTGTATATATATGTGGTTGATATGTTATTGTTATTTTATGATTTTTAATATTGAAAGCTGTGCTTGTCTGTGCACAAAAATCCTATTATAAAATATCTTTTTGTTTTCAGCTTAAAATAACAAAAGGTTCAACAAACAGTTTATTTAATGATCATAGCTTATATTGTTCAGGATGCGTGTAAACAAAACCGCTTCAATCAATTTTTGTTTTGAGGAAAATTATGTGTCCATAACAATTTTTTATACACTGACATTAACCTGGATGAAAAACCTTAACTAAGGTCATAGCCTACATGGTATGGTATGGTGTATGTTGTTATGTTGGTTAGCCTACTGACTATATCCAACCGGATCACTTTTACTTAACCATACCCACGTATGTATGTATTACAATGAACTTGAGTATATACATTGTGATCATAGTTTATATCATGTCTATTTTCTCATACTTTCGTTTTGCACAGACATACCATAGCGACTACATGTGTAATGTTTATGAAAACAATTACCACTGTTATAAAACAATATTTGTATGTTTTCCTGTTTAGTAAACATTACCAACCTTAGAACATTGTCGAACATCTTCCCATTCTTACTGATGTGTTACAACAGCTGTGTAACGTCTGTTTTCTGCTGCTGTTGCTGCTTCGTCGGAATCAGTTAAACATTTCCTGTAAGCATGTAAAGGTAAAAGAGTTAAAGAAGGAAGAAGGTAGGTAACTCTTACCAAATAGAAACATTATAATGACGTGGTTGAAAATACTCTTTGTGATCGCAGTCGGATGAAAGTTCTATGGATTCCAACTCATCAGTCAATGTTGATCTCGTGTGAAAAGCAAAGATTAACGATAATATCGGATACACTTATCAACATATATTTTAACCGTTTCGTGTATTGTAAACAAACCTATTTGGAGATCTTAAAACACTTCAATAAACGTGAATTATGATATAACATTTACGTTTATGTTCTAAGCAGATTTTCTCTTATTGATATCAAAATAATTTGAAAAAAAATAAAAATATTAAGTGAACCATTTTATATCACAAGTTAATTAACATGTTGGTCGTTCGCACTTTTTAACTTTATTCATCTTTGGTGTTGTTGATAGAAAAAAACCGATGGCTTATTTTTCAAGTGCTATGCACTTCTGGGGGACACCCTGAAAGGCTAATATTTTCATGATTGCCAATAGGCGACATGTATCGGACCTCCTCAAATGATAGTATATTTTTTGTCTTTTGGGATTTCTTTGTAGATTTAATTAAGACCTTTTTGCAATTGTTCCAAAGCTTGTCGGGTAAGGATTTCAAGCGTATTAAAGTTAAAAAGTAAAAGTTTATTCTTTACAGCAGATTATTTCAATTTTAATTTGTTGTCATCGCTTAACAACACATTTGCTAGGACAAGAAATCGATGTATTCAAGGATTTTAATGCGATACAATGGCGTTGATGAGGGTATGAATCGCAGTTGCTTAACAGCATGTAGTGGAATATATAATGTGATTTATGTAAGATTTTTTCGGATACCATCATGTATGTTAAAAGAAAAGTTGATCTTTTCTAAGATTGTTCATAACATCCGCGATAAATCGGATCTTTTAAAAGCTCATCGATATCATACAATATTGTTATTTCACCACAATTTTGAAATTAAATAGCCCTCGCTCGTGAGGGAGTAAGAAAACAACTACATTACACCGAGATATTACACATAAACTTACATTTATCTTTAATATATCAGACAAGAAATAATACATCAATATACATGTGTGTACACTATTCGTTTAAAAGTTTGAAGAATAATGTTGGTGATACCATGTTTTTTACAGGCAGGATATGTAATATATGTTAGAATTGTTCCATTGCAACCCACTATATACTTCCTGTATTACAATGTTTTTGAACACTTTCATTTAATTTATCTATTTTCTACTCCATGAGTGTTTCGGTTTTGTCTGACTGTATAGCTATCAATTTCTAGGCATTATCTAGGAAACACTGTCACTGAATCGGTACACCTCAAATGAAGTAGACCTCTCTGTTGAAGTAACTACAAACTCCTGTTTAATTGTGTGTACTATTATGACGGACTGATGGTTGATAATAGAAAATGTGTTTATTATCATCTTACCTCGTAATCTGTTAGGTGAAACCGGAAAAATGTTTTGTGATAACCATCCTCAAATCTATAACTAGCTCATTATCCACAGGTGGACTTAAATCCGGATCTCTATGGTTGAATGTGTGAACACACGATAGCTGTCCTAGATTTCTGGCACATTAGACCTTTAAACCCCAAACTGGGGTAAGCCTATGCCATGGTAGACTAATATTTCACTGAAATAGAGAAATGGAAATATTCTATTAAAATAGATTATGGATTTGGTCATATTGTTCTACTATAAGGAACAATATGTAACATAAAAAGTTAAATAATATAAATGTCTAAACATGCACAATTCAAATTCTATCAAAAGTCTTTTAGATATTTGATTTAAAAGTGAATAGAGAAACCACAAAACCAGCAAACTGTGATGCGTGTTTGAATGACCATATATTTAACTATATATTCATGATTATAATCCATTTTAAATTCTAAGGGAAACAACTCATGGAAATATACTATGTACAGCTTTGTATGACTTCACCTTAGCTGAAAGGTTGTCTTAGCCTAATATGCTATTGAATATGAGGTCATAACTTTTTTCCTGAATACTGAATTATCCAGACCGTCCATAATACTTCCATCTATTATTGAAATAAAAAGATGTAGTGAAAGACATGTGAAAACCGTTGTGATGCAGATACTAGGACAGAAACATATATATGGTTTTCAGATTCAAAAGCGAAAGTTATTTGCAAAGATTATAATGTTACAGTATTATGGAGACATATTAAGTTAGAGTTTAACGGACAAGTTGTAAATCATCAAGAATACATGTTAAGATCTGAAAGGTCTTACGGTACACAGTCAGTATGGTGTATGTTGTTATGTTGCTAAGCAACTATCTCCTACTGACTAATTTTACTTACTACGACCAAATATGTCTGTATTACAATAAAATTGAGTATATATCTGATCATAATAGGTTTATATAATATGTATATCATCACACGTACAGTTGTGATAGTATGCATTATATTTATCAAAACAATTAGCAAGATATCAGAACACAATAAGTATGATTTCCTCATTACTAACCTTAGTCTCGAACATTTGCCTTTTCGTACTTGTACAATAAATGTGAAACGTCCATGTTTTCGTGCTGTGCTGACGTGATCAGTGACATGTTTGCCAGTAACCATGGAAAGGTTAAAGGGGTGAGGGAAGGGCTTTGCAGTGCCAGTCAGATAACAGGTCTCGTAAAATCCTACTCACCTAGTTAACGCTGACGTCATATGTATAACCATAGATGAGTAGTTTGTATACACTGATCAATATATTTAAGTGGCGTTGTGTGCGTGTTTGAATAAACTGTTCTTTGAGACCTAACAACTTTTAAATAAACACTAATTTGTTAAGGTGATATAGCATTACTGGTTTTTAAACTTATGGGCATATTTCCTGTTCACAATACACTCATTATCGAAACAAGTCGTTTTATTAACATTTGTATACCACAAGTTATTAATTTATATCACCTGTGACAAGTACCTATGCATATTTGCGTTTCCAATGCATGTTCGTCTATAAGCATCACCAAAAGAAATTGCAGTTATAGAGGTGTACACGCCTTTTCATCAGCGTTATTTTTAGACTTTTCCTCCCGCCTCGAATAACGTGACACAACTTCAATAGAAGCAAAGATTCTGATGACATTCCTGAAATATCGTTTGCACTGACGACACAGACACGATTAGCATATATTGATCATTAATGACTATATAAGTAAATGAGTAAATAAATGTATTGAACAACATTAATATCATTAAAACATGTTATACTATCTTTATTATAGAAATAAAAACAAAGACTACATTTCGTACCGTTACGCAAACGATTGGCTATACTGTCGTTACTATGGAAACAACATACAGTCTATTGTTTTACTGTCACGTAAACACTTACTATATAGAAGTTCTCCAACGAATCGTGGTTGTTTATCATGTTAATCTAACTCAAGTTAAATAATTTTCAAATGTTACAAAGACACGAGATTTATCGAGTTTCTTTTACAATTTAAAACATTAAATACGTTTTTTGATGCCAGTTCTAGATAAGAATTAAACTCTGTCCAACCTCTCCAATCTGGCAGTCAAGATTGTTACAGTAAAGTTTGTAGGGGAGACATGAATGGTATCAAATATTAGATATATCAAGTTGTAAAGTGATAAAAATAATCGATACATGTGTTGGGTTTATAGACCGTTTTATCGTGATTCTATATAAAGGCAAGCCACTGACTAACTAACATCTGCAAAACATATTTGATAGATCAGCAGCAATGTCCTTGCTGATATCAGGTTGGCCCTCCTGTGTGCAGTGCATGAGCTAAAATAAAACAAAACATCTAGCCTGTAATATAAAAAAGCAAGATTCCAAAAGCATATCGTAAACAAAACAATCAGTTATAGTTGATTTTCAAACCTTCTTTAAGTTTAAACCAATCGTTGATATTTCCGATTACTGTGACTACTCATAAACTCATCTTTTCTACTTCGATATTAAAATGTATGAATGTTTTCTTATTTTGCAGCTCAGCGATATCAGACGACATTTTTCAGCTCACAATTGCAGCTAAAAAGCGATAACTCGTAAACATATACAATTAAATAAATGTTTGATATATGATCGTAACTATGAAAAACAAACTTACATATATTGTAAAAAATAAATGTATAAAAAGTTATTGGTGTACTCGTTGAGATAAACCTGATATGAAATATTATCAATTCATTGTATTTGTGACATTGTCCGATAGCAAACATAACTCATATGTCAGATTTGATATTCACATATTGTTATAAGAAATGTTTCTATCATGGATATGTATAGTATCAAATACATGTACAACCAACACATGTGTGTACTTTATGGTTATGATTGAAAATACATTAAACAGACGTGTACATTTAATACCGCTGTAAATGAAAAACAAATTGATATAGGTATGATCGAATATAATATACATTGCGATATGCTATATCAGTATAACTTATAAATAATTAACGACCGACCGACTAGAACACTAACTGCTTTCACTCTTCACAGGGCTCTTCAGGTCCCACTGAACGGTGAACGCAGCTAGTTTTCTAATCGTTTGATATATATTACATTTTCTTTATTTACTTACTTCACGTGAACATTAATATTTTGCATTATAAATATATATATATATATATATAAATTTATAAGTAACCGTCACCAAATGGAGACCTACACCTTTAAAGCGTCTGGATTCAACTATTTATAGCAGTGCATAAGTGCAGTAATGGCTATATGACCTTGTGGCGGTGTGTATATTATACAAATGGTGTAATGACAGATAGAGGTTGGTGTGGATGATACACAGTTCAACTGGGTGCATTTATTTACATGTAAATAAGTTTAGAGTAAACATACGCCATGGTTGAAATCGCTACATAATTCCTCTCGTACACCTACATGTATTCATAATATATGTGTCTTAAAGTCTTAAAGACACTTAGATGATTGAAACCGAATTACTTTTAATTACTTCTCAAAGATTTGGCTCTGTTAAAGAGTCAGTCATTTTGAAATGATCAATTTGAATGCAAATTGATTACGTGGACTGAGGAGACGCGATATTTGTTTATGGATAAAAACTATACAACTCTATAAATATCGCTTTGGTATTGAACTGTAAACAAAACGATTGACGACGTGGCAGTTAAAAGCACATCGTTAGAGTCTCTTCACAATATACTTCATTATACACTTTTTACTAAAGGTCAAAATGGCTTAATCGTTCTCCGATTACGTTCTTCCTGAATAGATTGACTTTAAATATTCATAAATCAGTGAGAGGAACATGTAAAGTATGTAAGGAAATGTGACAATGGTATGGTATGGTTTATGTTGTTATGTTGGTCGGCCTATTGACTATATCTTACCCGATCAGTTTTACTTAACCATACTCAAGTATGTCTGTATTACAATTAACTTGAGTATATACATACATTGCTATCATATACATTGCATAGACATACTATAGTGACTACATGTGTAATGTTTATGAATACAATTACCACTGTTATAAAACAATATTTGTATGTTTTCCTGTTTAGTAAACATAACCAACCTGAGAACTTTGTCGAACATCTGGCCTTTCTTACTGATGTGTTACAATAGATGTTAATCGTCCAAGTTTTCGTGCTGCTTCGACGGGTTCAGTGACAAATTATATATAAATTAGCATGATAATTTACTAAAGTATTTCAACCTAAAGGCAGGAAATAGTGACATGTAAACTCAGGAAGTAAATGTATATGTTGATTGGCTTACTGACTATATCCTACCCGATCAGTGACTACATATATAATGTTTATGATGACAATTCCCGCGGTTACCATATTTGTATGCTTTCCTTGTTATTTAACATGACTTACCTTGTCGAAAATTTGCCCTTTCTTTCTAATGTGTTAAAATAACTGTGAATGGCGATGTTTCGTGCTGCTTCGACGGGTTCAGTTACACATTTCATAATCGTGTAAAGGTAGAAGAGTTAAAGAAGTTAGGTAACTCTTACGAACTAGGGACAATATAATGACGTGGTTGAAAATATTCTTTGTAATCGAAGGCGGATAAAAGTCCTGTTGAATTCAAATCATCCAGACAACGTTAATCTCGTGCGTAAAACAATAACCGGTTAGTCGTATACGCTGATCAACATATCTGTGCTACCGTTTAGTGTATTTGAGATAAACAATGGCATTTGCTTTTATAAATATGTTTATAAACTTCATTATAAATATGTATTTTTGAAGAAAAAATAACATCATCAAAATGTTCAAAATGAACAATTTTCAACCTTAACTTTGAACCCGCTGATAGAATTCCCCCTCCTCCTTAAAACGATTTTAGCATAGGTTCATCCGATAGATTGTTTTTGCAATATTTACACATGTGCTGAGTGCAAAAATAATCTACATGAAGCGCTAGCTTTTGTTGTGAAGACACATATTTGTAAATGGACAAAACTGTACTCAAAAACCGAATTCCTTCTTTTCTTGCAAAATTTAGAAGCCCAAATAGTCCACTTCATCATGCATATGCCAATTAAATTGTTGATGTTTACTTTTTAAAGTGTGATGCATGTTGTATAGAAGAGGTTATGCATTGTACAAATAATACCACCCTTGGCCACCGTCCGCTACTGCATACTGCTACCTCATGCGTCAGTTTTGTTTCAGAATATTAAACTAAAACCTACTAGATGACTTTGAAATGATACAACAAACAAGATGATGTATCCGTATACCTCTGTTACATAACACGCTGAAAACACACGTGGACTTGGACTTTTTATTCATTTCGCATTGTGGCCGCGACAATCGTATCCTCTTTCTCTCCACTCTTTGACACTTCCCAAATTGACCTTTGACCTTTACTTTTGAAAATGTTTGTCCGGGGCAAATCTTCTATACTTTTTCACCTGGAGTAACCAGATATGGTGTACAGGTACATCTTGGGATGACGGAGTGCATTTTGTAAGAATTAGGGTACTGAAACCTATGCTTTGACCTTTGACCTTAACTTTGGATGTTTGTTCGCGGCATATTATCGATACTTTATCACATGGAGTAACCCGATTTCGTGAACAAGAACATCTTGGGATGACGGACTGCAGATTGTAAACATTAGGGTACTGTGATCTATGACTTGACCTTTGCCTTTAACTTTTGAAAACGTTTGTCCGGGACAGATTTCTGAACTGTCAACAGGTCAACTCAGAACATTTGCCCCGAACAAACATTTTTAAAATTTAAAGTCAAAGGTCAAATCATAGGTCATACTGACCTAATTCCTGAACTCTGCACTCCGCCATCCCAAAATTGGTTACTCCAGGTGAAATAGTACACAAGAAATGCCCCGGACAAACATTTTCAAAAGTAAAGGTCAAAGGTCAAATCAAAGGTCACAAGGAGGTCATAGTGACCTAATTCTTGCACTCTGCACTCCATCATCTGGTTACTCCAAATAAAATAGTGTTAAAGATATGACCCGGACCAACTGCTCGGACGGAAGGACGGATGGACGGAGTGCAAACCTATAGTCCCTCCCCAGCCCCGGGAAACGGTCAGGGACTATATAACACAGTTGACAAAACAAAAACAAGAGGCCCAGGGGCCTTAATAGCTCACCTGGTATTTCATTTTCAATTTAAGACCTGCTGAGTACAATACAGGTTAATTAAAGGAGTTCAAGAAGTTCAAGTAGCAAAAAGTGAACTACATGTTAATCTATTTCCCAAATTAGGTCCAGCCCTCTGCCCAAAGGGGTCACATCCTCCATTTATATAGATGTTTGTCCTTTTGCCTATAGATGATCAATAATAAATTTGGTTACTATCCCGGTATACACACAGAAAGGTAAATTTTTCATATTTTTTTATTCTCTCTGGCCCCAACCCAAAGGGTTTCATACCAACTTCAGGCCCCTTTGTTCAAAGATGCTCTCGAACAAATTTGGTCGAAATCCTACTGGTTAAGGAGAAGAAGATGTTTAAAGATTTACCGATTTCCCCCCTAGTGGGCCCCGCACCTCTGCCCCCAGGGGCCACATCCTCCGTTAATACAGCATTACATGTCCTTTGCTCTAAGATGATCTAGAACAAATTTGGTTAAAATCCCTTCATCAGTACAAATGGAGAAAGATCTTTAATTGTTTCTTGTTATTTCCCATAATGAGTCCCACCCTTCTGCACCAAAAAAGGGGGCCCCATACACCCCAGTTTATACAATATTGATACGTTTTTTCCTGAAACCTGATTCAAACCACATTTAGTTTAAATCCCTTCATTTGTACAGAAGGAGAAACAATTTTCTCTATTTCCCCTATTGGGTCCCGCCTCTCTGTACCCAGGGGGGCTACACCCTCCTTTATACAAAATTGAGGTGCCTTTGTCCAAAGATGCTTCAAAACAAATTTGGTAAAACTATTTCTATTCGGAGAGAGGAAGATTTTTGAATTGTTACCCATTTTCCCCCTATTTGGCCCCACTTCTCTGCCCCTATGGGGCCATTGAAAACCCTTAGGCCAATGATGCTTCAGACAAAATTTGGTCGAAATCCTTTCAGCTGTTACATTGTAAGGACTAGTAGCGTTTTGAAGGAAACAAGTTGACGGACGACGAACGGTGCGCCACGGCATAAGCTCACTTGGTCCTTTGGCGGTGAGCTAACAATGACTTCATTATTTTTGAAGCACATAGTATGTAATTATTTCAATGTTTCGTTAAAAATAGCAGTGACCATTATTTGTTAGAATGGAAGTATATTTTATTCGATATTGTTGAATTTACTATGTATTTGTATAAATGTAAATGTTTGTTTCTTGGAATGCCAAGACTCACAACAAATATGGCATTTGAACACTTTTTTATTAACAAAATATATTGCAACAGGAAACATCAGAGAATAAACAATTTATATAGGAGGTTCGAGTTACGCCTCTCCCATTTAAAACTTACTGGTCTTTTTAGGTTCTGTAGATGGTCAGTGACCAATCTCATAACTAGCAAATATAGGGTGCACTAGCGGAGGGCAACGCAAGAAGTAGACATTTAGCCCTTGCCTGAAAGCTTAGATGTAGTAAAAGACTGAAATCGCCGTATATAAGAAAATTCGACGAAATTATAGTAAATTTCATGTTTATAAACTTTCTCACCGATTCCCAAACCGTAGGTTACCAACATGAGTTATCGACTTTGTTTTCAGATACAATGACGGGGTCCATATGCGGTACGGAAACACTTCCGTTTCCGCAGTGATCAGGTTGTTGTGGTGACACCTCCTCAGGTATATTGTTGTATAGACGCTGAGCTCATCAATGTCGTATGTTTGTTAGATAAAGCTTTTAAAGTATGCAGAAGTTCCTTTAACACAACCATTATACAATCTGTATTAAGTTTACCTTATTGATCGTGTTAACCATTTAAGATATAACGTACTGCAGCTACATGTTAAACACAGCCTTGCGTAGGTACATATAGACTATGCGATCATGGACGTTTAAATATCACATGATGTTTAAAAGATAATATACATATAATTTTAAAACAATATAATGGAATTATATATCTGATCTTCATACATGAGCTTTTCCAGACGTTTTCGTTTTATCATACAAAACTAAATATAGTGAATAACACCAATGCATCATTATACTTTTCATTTTTAACAAACTATCATATCTTCGTATATATTACTCTCATGAAAGATACTCTAAATAGATTTTAGAAAGTAAATCATGTTACAAATGTTGTATATACGCAAATTCATTGATCGGAGAATCATTTATAAGAAAGATAAGCTCCGTTTGGAATAGCACATATATGTACACGCTTTACCAATAAAACGACTATGTGTCATGTACATATGGTGTATTTTTAATCATTTATATGTATAACGTTTCATCTAATTTGTGAGACACACATCTAACATTCAACATTTATTAATACGGCTATAGTTGATTTTACAACAGGATAGTGATCTTAAACACTCTGCGGCATACATTTTTTCTACGTTTTGAAACGATCCAAATCATGCCATTTCTCATTATGTCCGATACTTTGTTTCTAAAGATGGCTATCACCGCAGAGTCGTACGATTTGTGAACTGAATCCAAAAAGTAATTACAACAAATAATACTACTTCTAGTTTAGTTAATTAATTTCCTTTTAGTTTCATAATAAGGCGATATCCGAAGTAATGAACGATTTTTACAGTTAATACAAACAGGTTGACATTACAACGTCTCTCATAATTATGCTATCTTTGTCTGTGCAAAGTGGAATATTTCGATTATTATACCAAATATATCGTTACATTTTTCATTTGTTTAATGCCACATACATATGTACATAATATAAAAAATCTGTATCGCAAAGTATTTTCTGCATTTCTTGACAAATTAAGTTTCACGATGGAAAATGTAAACATACGACGATCCACTTTTTTGATTGATTAATTTCTGTATTGTGATCCTTATTGTAATATCTAAGCGTTCTTATTGAATCGGTACACCTCGAACGAAACAGACTCATGTAAAGATGTTACTATGAACTCCTGTTTGGTGGGGTGGACTATGATACCATACGGTTCGTTGATACCGGACAGTTTGGTCAGCAGTGCCTTCCCCCTTGATCCGTCAGGTGAAACCAGGTAAACATTGCGTGAGATTAATCCACATACATATACATTGTCATCCCGGTCAAGTCCGATACTTCCAGGATAGTTCAGACGACGATCATTGTACCTGTAAACTACTGCGTCATTGTCAAGTCGTCTACACAATATATCATCGTTATCTCTGTGATACACTCTGGCCTTGGATGTAGATAGAGCAAAGTACGTGTCACCTCCACTTTTCGTTATTGACCGAATAACCTTTCCATCCATAGACAAAATATCCACACTTCCAGACGTACCGGCGTAGATGTTATCTCCATGAACTGCTATTCCTAACGT